GTTTCTTTTATTTGCAGTAAAAATGACCACCTTGGTTTTACTCTCTTCTGCAGAAATACCAGAGTGTAGCATTTGAATAAATTTGCAAAGCTGCTTTTAAAGGACTCAGTGTAGCTAATTAGGAAATTAAATTGAAAAATGAAAATCTTCAGACTCCCTCCATCTGAGATAAACACCTCAGGTTTTGGTTTATTTCCTCCTATTCTTTTTTTTTCTTCTTGGTTTATTACATATCTGTGTATTTACTTGTCTGATCATAAGGTACACTTTTACATTTTAATTTTTTTAATCTTATAAACTATATTCTTGCCATTTTCTTATAATTAAAAACGCTTTTTAAATATTATTTTAAGGGACTTTATACTCATTCATCACATGGATATACAAACATGTATTTAATTTTTCCTGAATGCCATACCTGTTAGGTTGTTTGATTTTTATTTTTCTTTGCACATAAATGCATCTTGGGCACTTCTGGCTTTTGTCTTAGGATCGGTTCTCAGAAGGGAAAGGGCTGCTCGTTTTTATGGGCTCTTTCTACAGATTTGCTTGTTGTTTCCGGGAAGCTGACTGCAGTTTACACCCCACTGGTCATCTGTGAGAGTGCCCGTCCTGTCCTGGAGTTATGTGGTCAGCATGGGTTTTTTTAAAAAATGAAAAAATTACAAGGCTAATACTTCCTAGCTTCCTTTTTGTTTTTAATTTTCTTCTTGATGGCAAGAAGGTGTCCTGCAAATAATTAGAGGAACCTTTTTCTAATTATGGATACTATTCTCTAAATAAGAGCTTTGAGGGACTGTGAGAGGACAAGCGTGAAGCTGAGTGAAGTCAGCCTGGGAACTTGACACTGATGAGTAATTCAGAGAGGGCATGTGTACCCCACTATCATTCTTACATGACACGAGCAAAAAAACCCTTATTTTACAGCTGAGAATTTCTCTTACATTTTAATGGAAAAACTCATTGTTCATTGAATGCTGGAGTTATCTTTTTATAATAAAAAATTAGTTTTCTTTGGTCAGGTTATAAAACAAAGGATTTGACAACCCACGTTCAAAACAAGTTAAGAGGTTTTAGACCTTGGCTCGGTGGTTAGAGCATCTTCCTGACGCTTCAAGTTTGCAGGTTCGCTCCCCTGTCAGGGCACATGAAAGAATCCACCAGTGAATGCATAAGTAAGTGGAATAATCTCTCATTCTCTCTCTTCCCCACCCCCCCAAATCAATAAAAATAAACACATTAATAGGGTTTAAAATTAAATCCTTCAAGCTGCTCAGGGAATTTTGGAAAGACAGGGGTTTCGTGTCTCCTATTTGAAAAATGTCAGACTTTGGCGTTGCTTTTTTCTTTTTTAAAAAAGACAAATGTTTATGAAGAAGAAAACACGGATTCAGCTATATTAGAAATAGTTTTCTCTAAAAAGGAACCTTTAACTCTTAGTTTGACTTTGCTTCATGTGGTGACTTTGAATGACCAGCAGGGGGCAGCAGATTTTTACGAATCCTTGAGGTTGGTTAAAGCGCTGATTTTAAAATTAAATGAAATTAAATGAGAGGATTTGGATTTTCACGGAACCCGAGCCCGAGCCCGGGGCATTCTTGGGATGGGAGAGGACGGGAGGGCTCGTGCCCAGGCCTGGGAGTGCCGCCCTGGGCACCTGCTTGCCTTTCTCCGTTTCTTCGTAACTGGTTTTCTTTGGGTTCTTAGATTTGTCGACACTGTTTCCCGAGTTTCTGTCTGTCCGCGCCTCTTTCATTTCCTCTCCATTTCCTTTCCCTTGTCCGCTCAGTGCCTTGTTCTCAGCCTGAGTAGCTTTGGCAGCAGCAGTTCTGTGGCAGCGACCAGCACGCGTTGGAAGCACTCTTCCCTCCGTGTGCTCACGTGTGATCCACCCTTCCCTTCATTTTTCCCTCTTTCCCATTTCCCGTCTGTTTTCTCCGCGTCCTCTGCTTTCCCCTTCTCGCTGTTTCCTCTGCCTCAGGCGCCGTTCCCCGCGGCGTACCCCAGGCGGCTTTAGTCCCCCGAGGCGCGTCCTGGCGGCTGCCCGCGGCCATCCGCGTCGAGCTGGGGCAGACCCATAACCTGTGACGGCAACTTGTATTAATTTGGGTTCAAGGACAGTCGCTTTAATTTTTAAAAATTATTCGGTTATAAAAATAAAAGACATTTAATGGGGGAAATCTGGAAGAAAGCAGAAAAGGCTGAATGACAATAAAACCACCTGTAATCCCGTTGCCACCTAACTGTTAACATTTAATAGTGGAACTGTAGTCTTTTTGCATATGTTTAAGTACATTCTCTGTCATCCACTTTTCTGGCTGACGGCTTTCCAGCAAGGTGTGGTGTCTGTGGCATCGTATCACACAGACGCACCATCGTTTATTCACCCCAGGCCATATTATTAGTCGTCTGTCCCTTTTCTTCCTGCAGTTCATTCTCCTTGTGCATCTTCGGTTAGTTCCTTGGGTCCAGTTTTTATCCGTCCAATCAGCTGGTGGAGGGGAGCGAGATCTTTTTGTTGGCTGGTGAGTTGATGTCCGGAGGGCTCGCTGGACGGCCTCCCCGGCGGGCGGTGTGTGGACGGCGCCTGTCACTGAGCTCTGCTCCTCTGTCTTACTCCAAACAAGCGAGGCAACCGCAACACCACCCAGCCTGCTGCAGTTCTCAGGTTTTCTTAAAAAAAATATCTTTATTGATTTCAGAGAGAGGAAAGGAGAGGGAGAGAGACAGAAACATCAATGATGAGAGGGTCACTGATTGAGCCCGCAGCCCGGGCCTATGCCCTGACCGGGAATCGGACCCCGGTCGCCTGGATCCCAGGTCGACGCTCAGCCGCTGAGCCACGCCGGCCGGGCAGTTTCGGTTTTGAAGACAGAAATGGTCTTCGCCTCTGCATTTCCCTCCTTTCCGACTTCCCACACCCACCTCCATGGATCTCAGCCTGTGCTTGTCTGTGGTAAGACGCGGTTTCCTCGCGGCCGGCGGTGATTAGCGCTCGGAGCGGCGCCCAGTCCTGGAAAGAGGCCGTCGCTGCGTCAGCTGGGCGCAGCGCACTGAGCAGGGTGCTGGGCGCTGGGCGCTGGGCCGACTTTGGCTCCTGTACGCCCCTCGAACTCTGCAGGTAGGAAAACGGCGCTCACGTTCCAGGGAAGGTGTTTTAACCGGTCATTTACCACTCACTTTGTTTATGGAGCCTGCCCCAGCACCTGGCACACGCAAATGAACATAACAGTTGTGAAATGACTATTGGACGAATGCTTTGCTTGTTAGCTCATTTCGTGTTTTGGCGTCCTCTCTGGATAGGCCATGGTAGCCGGTACGCTATCATGTGTCCATATCTGTTATTATTCCTGGTGTGTTTACCGCCACGATTTGATTATTTATTGAAGGAGACGCGCAAGCCCAAACCAGAGCAGAATGCTTTTGTCGTGAGAGGGGTTGGAATGCACCGAGGTGGCTAATCAGCAGCCCCTGAAGTTGAATTTTGTCCTGACAAAGAATCCTGTTGGGTGTCCCCTGAGCCTAATGCCGGGGTTACACAACACCCAGTCTTATAAAAACCGAAACACGCCAGCGGGGTCCAAACAACCAGCTCGAGTGAATGGCTCGCTCTCTGTCCAGATGTCATTAGACATTAACCTTTTTACGCTTGTGTAGTCCATTTGCTTGGAAAATGGACCAGCATTTTCAGACCACATTTTTTGATTTTTTTGCACTTTGCTGCTTGTTTCCAAATGAAGAAAGAGCAGAATGAGGTGGAGAAAAGCCAAACCAGTTTTCTTTTTTTGCCTTGCAACCAATTCATTAGCACCTACAAAGCCTCGGCATGAGAGATGCTAGTAAATGGTATGTAGGGTGTTATTGCTTTGGTTTTGCCCATTTTATGACCCTCCCTTTGTTTTCGGAGTTTTCTTCTTACATTTTGCTTGGAATTACGTGAATTAAGGATCCCTTTAATGTAGCATACACTTCTCATTATAGGGCTTAATAACTTAAAAGGAACAGCCTTGGACAGTGTTGCCAAAGCTCTGCCTTGGGAGCTGGGAGCTCTTCACTCTGGGATCAGTGGTCACAGGATAGTCTCATTAATCACCCGAGCCAGCCAAGAAGAAGAAACAGGGAAACAAAACAAAGCCCTAAACCCTAAACATTTGTTGAAAATACGATGTTGCAATGGTGAATTCCGAGATGAAAAATAATTTCGTTTTTCAGAGACCACATGGAATTAGCTTAATGGTGATATAATTGTGGATACGTGTTTAACAAGTTGACTCTGATTGTTAAACTACTGTGTGGTTCCCCGTTTTCCTCCCTGAGATGCCACCAGAAGTGGGTACACATTTATTAAACGTCCTCGGAAAGGCCCTCCTCCATCCAGCTTCCTAGGAACTGAAAAGCAGTTCCCTTTAAGTCGTGTACGATTAAAGGGGTCATGTCCCTCTGTCCCCTGTCCCTTCACAGGACCACGTGATGTAGGCGATGGAGTCTTTCTGTATGTTTGACTGTTTTTTTAAAGTTATCTATGACAGAACTCTTTCACCGTCTGAAATAGTTCTTTGAATCTGTTTTTAAGGGCAAAAATTTGGTGGAACCCATTTTTGGTCATTTATTTTCAGAACCCTGTAATTTAAAACATGGATCAAAATGAGTAAATGGTGACTGGGAAGTCTCAGGTACGCCCATGTAGGTTTTCATTAAGCGTTGGATTTAAGTAGAGGAGGTTGTGTTCAGAATTTAAAACGTCAGGTCAGATTGGGACTATGAACTTAAGAGCATCACTTTAATATTTCTCTGCCCCTCTTATCTGTTTAATAATATACATAAGGACATTCTGGGCTTAATTTTATATGTTATAATCGTAGACAAATTTACTAGACTTTGGGCTCTGTATAAGGCGGGTGTTGTATCTCATCCATGAGCTTAGGTCCAAAGAACAATTTGAAAAATTCTGACATTTTGCTCCATCACCTTTGAAACTTAGGTTGCTGACGTCCTGCCTTCAGTCGGGCCTGGCTCTCAGCCCGGCTCCTCTGCTCGCTCTGGTCTGTCCCCTGGGCGGTGCCTGCGCCCGTCTCCCTCAGGTGGCAGCCGGCGGGGCCCTCCCTGGGTGGCGGTCATGTGTTTCTCTCTGATGTGTTACTGTCATTGCAAATCTCCAGGTGCTTTTCGCTTTTTTTTTCTCTAAAATATCTTTATTGACTTCAGAGAGAGGAAAGGAGAGGGAGAGAGGGAGGCAGAAACATCAATGATGAGAGAGACATTGATCGAGCCTGCAACCTGGGCATGTGCCCTGACTGGGAATCGAACCCCGTTCACCTGGATCCTAGGTCAATGCTCAATTGCTGAGCCACGCCCGGCCGGGCCGCTTTTTAATAGTCAAGCGTTTTTTTTGTTTTTTTAAAGTAATAGATTGATACTTACATAGCTTATAAATGGTATAAACAATGGATCAGTGATATGTTTATTATAACCCTTAAAATAGGGCTTAATAATTTTTTGGAAGTTTTTTTGAAGTGATGAATCCCGTTGTGATTGTGCGGAACGACTGCTTTGATGACCTACAGGGATTTGAGTTCTTAACATGCATTTGATTCCTCAAAACCTCTAGCTCCTGTCTTTTCACTCTTCTCTCCCCACCTCACCTCGAGCGGTCTACAAAGGAACGTTTCCGAACCCCGTCGGCCATCGGCCGTTTCAGCTGTGGTGTTGGGGACGTTGTCGGGTGATTGTAAACGAGCAACAGGAAGTGCCTCCTATTTTTTCCCCCCCAAGATATTTTTTCTAGTTAAATGGGTGGGTGTATAATGAAACAGCGTGGAGAGGTACGCGTCTGTCTTTTTGGAAGTGAAATATTTGAGGAGTCTAATAATGAATCCAGTCGCTTCTATTGTAGCTTCCCTGAGCTGACTTGGGAAATAAGACCCACCCGCCGTCTACGTTTCCTCCCCTGGGCAGCAGAGGGCAGCAGAGTTCGTTCCAAATGAAACCTGTCCCTCCTGTCCTGGCTGCTCTGGACAGCTCGCGGCTGGTGGCAGAGCTCACCTGCGAGCTCGCAGGGTCACCTTGTAAAATCCCATTATCCTGTGTTTTTCTTGGACTCTTGGGGAGCACATGTGAACGTGGAAGTACAACCTGCTCCATCAGCGTGCGGACGATAGTAACCAGATCCGAGTTTTTCATTCGTTTCTTAATGTTACCGGTAACTTTCCACTAAATGCCTTAAAAAATTTCACCCTATTACTGAAAATATAGGTGTGTGTCCTTGATTTTATAGAAAAAAGTTATGTGGCTTCCTAGACGTCTTCTTTTCATTTAAATTTTTGAAATAATTTTCAGGAGCCAGATCAAATTATGTGGTTAAAATGTATCAGGCGATCAGATCACCTCTTTATTAAGTGATCCTGCATATCGCACACGCAGATCATTTTCTAGAAGTTACGTGGACTCAGCTCTCACAGCCGATGCTTTTGCTTTGCAGGCAATGAACCGCTCCCTGGCAAATGTGATTCTTGGAGGCTATGGTACCACTTCCACGGCTGGTGGAAAACCCATGGAAATTTCTGGCACGCATACAGAAATCAACCTGGACAATGCCGTTGACATGATTCGAGAAGCTAATAGCATTATTATTACTCCAGGTAAAAAAACAACAACATCCCCCACACACCAAAAAGAAAACGCAAACAACCTATAATAGCTGTTGTAACTGATCACATTAAAACAATTTCTTATAACAGGAAAACATCTAATTGGAACTTGTTCGTTTTTGAAACATAAAGGGAACTTAGAAGCAGCCCTATCATTACAAAGTGAAAAACACTGAGACTTCTCAGTTTGGGTTAATATTTCGGGGGATCACAGATTCTACAAATTGATGACGTGGTTCTAGCCATACCTTGAGGTGAATCTGTACAAATGTTGGATCACCTTCGAGTTTCGGTTATTTGTTCCTCCTTGGTCATTTTTGGGCCTGTTGTCAGGATCACGTTAGATACAGTATATGAGAGCATCTCGCTCACACAGTGTTGGACCTGCACGGGAGTGAGGGGGGACCCTTAGATTTTGAAGCTGAAATTTAGGCCAGTATTTCTAAAAGTCTACATTATAAGTTTGCTTTCATTTCTAGTCCCATTAATGGGATTGCTTAATTTTTTTCGGTATGAAAATGTTTTGATCAAGAGAGGAATTTTAGAATTTCAAAATGAAAACCGCATTCTTCTGTGGTCTTGATGTCCCCGCAGGCTACGGGCTCTGTGCAGCCAAAGCTCAGTACCCCATCGCCGACCTGGTGAAGATGCTCACGGAACAGGGCAAGAAAGTCAGGTAACAGGCTGCACTGGCAGATCGCCGGGCGTGCGCCGGAGAGAAGCCGGACGGGCGACGTCTCTTTAGATGACTGTTTCTTTTCTTTTCTTTGTAATCTTAAATTCAATTTCTGTTAATTAAGAAAGGAATATGTGCTAATTGGGAAAAAAAAATCAGAAAAACAGATACAAGTAGGAGGAAGAATAAAGTAATCAAAGCCCCACCACCTGGAGACAACCCCCGTTAGCATTTTGGCCAGTTTCTGCCCCTTCCCCATTTATTTCGTGTGGTGGGAACACTTGTTCCGTCACTGTAACTCTACGTTGTTGAACAGCCACCCCCGTTTCTGCGGCTCCACGTGTTCAGGGAAACTCCTGTTAGCAGCAAACGACAGGAGCGACCCTGGGAGGTGCCAGTCTTTCTACCCGTGGGTTGAATGGTGGGAGCATCGGTTCAGGAGATGGGCGCAGAGACCGTTCACGACGCCCGCGGCGAGCAGGTCAAAGTCTGTGCCAACCCTGTTCCGTGGAACTTGCTGTGGAAACGGGTTGTTCTGTATCTGCGCTCCCAGTGCGGTGGCCACTGAAATGGGCTTGGACTGAGAAACTGACTTGAAACAATGAAAAAATGAAAAAAAAAATATTTACTACAGTTGACACCCATTATTTTATTTGTTTGTAGAGCATAGCGGTTGGACATGACTCTTTCTTAAAGCATTTGGTTGGACATGACTATTTCTTAAAGCGCTCGCTGTGTCTGTCTGATAGCATCGAACCTACATGTAGGCTCATTTTAGAAAGGGCAATTTTATTATATGAAATTCCCGGCTTTTTACTAACGGGGAAAACCAGAAGTCCCTTTTCTCTGGTTCGATTTGGGGAAGGAGGTCGAGCGAAGCCTTCACACCACAGCGAGGTGTGACTTCGTGGTTTCTGATGTTGACACCGGGAGAAACATCCCCCGGGAGAGGCCTGTGAGGAGGGAGCCCGCTGGGAGCCCGGGGCTGGTTCACGGGCCTCACGCAGCCCTCGCCCCCTCCGCGTGGGAGCGACCGCTGGCCCTGCCTGGTCATAAACCCTTCCACTTTCTGAAGTAGGATTTCAGGCGACAGCTGTTGCGGCCACTTGCAGTTTGGGCAAAGGACTCTGCTCTGGGAGGGCAGCGAGCAGATGGCAAAGTGGAGCGCTTCGCGTTTCTGGATCTTCCCCGGGGCCTCCGGTAGAGGGTTTGAGGGCGCTTAACCGGGGGGCGGGTGGAGGGGGGGCATGACCCTCGCAGCTCTTGGCGTCTGTCCGTCTCGTCCTTGGCTCCCTGTCCTGGAGCTGAGCCGTCAGGAGGCGGCGCAGGGGCCCGGACTTCTCCCCCGGGGAAGGGGAGTTGCTGTGTTTTGGGGGGAAGCTGGCTCCAGGGCAGTTCCATTGACTTGAGAGAAGACGGGGTAACTCTGTGATTAAGTGAAGTTTGCTCGCTCACCGGGATGTTAATTTATATCAACAAAGCTGTTAGTGGCTGTTAATGAGCGTGCCTCGTAGAGGCCAACCTTATACTTCTGTCTGGGGGCCGATGGTAGGCAGATGAGCCCGACGGCCTGCCTGGACCGCGTCGGGCTGTGCCCGCGGCCTGTGGGATCCGGCGCTCAGCCTGCCGTTGCAGCTGTTAGTGGTAAGGGAGGCAGGTGATTATCCCAGGGGCTTATCGAGAATGCTTAGGCATCAGCTGCACTTTCTTTCTTTCTTTCTCCCCCTTCCTCCCCCACTCCTTCCCCCAGGCTCCGCCTTCCTGCGAGCTAAAGTCTGTGTTTTTTAACTACGGAGAGTTAAAATACTCTTTGCGGTAGGACCAGCATTCCTGGGACGTTCGTGGCTCCCACGCTTAGGATCATCTTAGATGAACTGAAGATAGCAGGTGAGAAGAGTCCTTGACGTGGTTCCTTATTTTTCACACAAGAAGTCTCGTTTCGGTGACTGGGTCCTGCGTTCGCGTCGGGCGTGAAGCTCGGCCGCCCCGGTAGCGGCCGTCGTGCGGAAAGCCTTTGCGCACCCACACGTGGGAAGGATGCGTTGCAGAATCTTTCATCGTTTTCTGTATTCCGTCCACGGGTGAGGAGTCGGATGTGATACTGACGCCCGCTGTCGCCACACAGATGTTTAGGAGACGAGTGGCCAACGTGACAAAATAGAGAAGGACGGAGCCTCGGCGCTGCTTAGGGAGGGGACCGGTGGCCTCACGTGCGCTGCTTGCCCGTGAGCAGCCGTCCGCCTCTCGGAGGCCGGGCCGCCCTCGGTGGGCGCAGAGCTGGGGAACGTCCACGGCCCTGGGGCAGCTTGGCCGCGGGCAGGACGCGAGGGGGAAGGAATAGAGGATGGGAGACGATCTGGAAAGAAAAGGGAGGGACAAACGGCATTTTAGTTTCTGACCTCGTTAAAATTTGCATTTTTGTCCTGGGGGCACTGTCGGATCCCACCCATCCCACTGCATGGGAAAAGTGATTATTTCACTCAGCATTTATGGGAGACGTTTAATTACATATTAGCATGTTAGGGTTTTGTGTTGCTTTGACTACAGTGCGTTGAATTTTCGGCGCGGGCTTTGTGAGGAGTCACGTGCGCCTCTCGCCTCAGGTAGACGGGAGAGCGCCTCCTCGCTCCCAGGGCGGCCCGGCGGCCACAGCTTTCCTTTCTTGCCTTTGTGTGAAGGTTTCTTTAATTTAAAGGGAACCCTAGGGACTTTGTTGATTTAGCCTCGTGTGTCGCCATCTTTTCACAGGAGAAACGCCTGTTTTCTTTGCAGAGTTAGGGCTCGCTCTGTGCACAGACGCCGCTGCTCCCCCCAGAGACGGCCGTCCGTCTGAGCGGGGCTGGCTGCGAGGTCGCCTGGCGCTTTAATGAAAGAAACCTGTGCCTACAGCCGGTGGCCCTCCGGCCCTCCCATCACCGGGGCGCCCCACGGAGCCCACGGAGCACAGCGCGGGCCGTGAGCCCCGGGACCCCCGCGTGCCCAGCATCCAGACGCGGCGACGTATCGGCAGGCAGCCCCCGCGGAAGGGTGCCAGTGTGGACGCACGACTGTGATCAGCGAGTTACGACCAAGCGGTGCCAGCCAAGAAAAATCGCATCTGCCACACAGTCCGTCTGACTGTAGGGCCCGTGATCGATGCAGAGACGCTGCCGTTTGCCTCCCCGGGGGCCGCGGTCGTGACGTGCCCGCGGGAGCCGCGGTGCGTGGAGGAGCACGCGGCCCCCGGGACCGGGCTCCTTCGGAGCGTGACGCGCGCCCACTGACAGACTTCCTTCACTGGCCAGGATGATGTTGCTCCCCAGCTGCCCAGGACGCCTCCGTGGCTTACCTAACTCATGCTTGATTTCTGCAAGCATTTTTAAAAAACGTGTTTATTGATTTATAGAGAGAGAAAGGGAGAGGGAGAGAAACATTGATGTGAGGGAGAAACACTGATCGGCTGCCTCCTGCACGCCCCCGACGGGATCGATCCCGCAACCCGGGCGGGCGCCCTGATGGGATTGAACTGGGGCCCCCTTGGTGCCTGGGGGGTGCGCGACCCAGCCAGACGCCCGCAGGCCCCGCGGGCATTCTAATGCAAACATCTTACAAGACCGCAGACATCTTTTCTCGTTATTCCCCATTCCTGGCGTTGATATGGTCGGGTTTTCATTACAAAGCAGAGAGAGTGGTCCNGGCGTTGATATGAGAGGGTTTTCATTACAAAGCAGAGAGAGTGGTCTTGGTGAATAGTCTTAGGAAGAGGTGGGAACTTTTTTCTTTCTTGCAGTTAATCACCGCGCGCTTTTCTCTTTATAGAGCATTAGTGCTTGGATTACCACAGAAGTCTTTTGAATTTATGAAACCACCTTTCTACTTTCTTGATCAACGAGCGATGTTATGTATTGCTTTCATGTTAATGTTCAACTATATCTTTCTATTAATAGTTTATTGGTAGAAATTTATTCCTAGGTACTGAGACTACAAGAATGCATTAGCCCAGTTCCCCCTCTCAAGATTTATACTTTTAAAGAAAACAAATCTATAAACAAGTGAATCAGTCAGTGAATTCCATTTAATGTGACAATCTGCTAAGAAAAGTGGTGTAGAAGTAGGGAGGAATCCAAAGGAGGGGAGCAGTTTACCGTCCCGGGGACATTTCAGACTGTTGATACTACTCATAACACGACGTTTTTTTGCAGGTTTAAAAAATGAATATTAATTTTTTCATCCTCTGTCTAAACACACCTAATGGTATTTACAGGTTAATAGTGTTTTACAGCTTGTCTGACATGCTATAGGTTTAAGCACATGTTATTTTTGCTAAGAAATTCATTCTTTGAAGATACTGGAAGATGTTGTCGCTCTAACCAGACCTTCCTGTGTTTCATGGATTGAATGTAATTCGAATACACAGAGTTCAGCTTTCGTGGATTTGTTATGATTGGGGGGTGCAGGAGGAGCTAACACATGCAAATTTATAAAGCAGTAACGGTGCGTGCTTCCAAAGAGAGTAGAAATTAGGCCAGATAGAAGGTCCAGTATAGTATCTGAGTAAAGAAATAGACATGGGACAGCAGTTTCCTGCCAGCTTCGTAATACTTTCTTTTTAGACCTATTTAGGATGACGAATGACCATTCTCTGAACAAATAATTAGATGCTACTTTGTGCCAGGCACTGTTCGAGGTCCTCGAGACTACATCCGTGAACACACAGATAAGAACACCTGACCCCGCGGACTTGACATTCACCGGGAGGCTAGTTAAGAGGGGTGACGATACTCGGAATTGCGAGTCCCTCATAACCCCACTGTGTTTCCAGATGCGAGCTGGAAGGAAGTCTCAGTTTCAGAGCTACAACTGGCTCTGTTTGGTGCTGAGTTAGCCAGTGCTTCTGGTTTTCTGACAGAATATGGGTTGTTTCTTTGCCTTCTTGAAAAACATGGTGGCAGGGTGGTGGGCATGGTGGGAGCTGTTTGTGCAATGGGTCCAATGAGTGAAACCTCTGGCGGCAGAGAGGA